AGAAGGTTTTTAAAGCATTTAAAGTGTCCACTAACATACGATTATCCCACGACTTGAAAAATTATTTTATTTGACTAACTTTAAAAAATAGTTAATTAAAGAATGATCCTTTTAAAAAGTCAATTGAAAAGAAATGAACTTGAACACTTGAAACAATTTTAGAAGGAAAACAAATTTTGTTAAAAATTTCTAAGTAAAGAAAGCTAATTAAATGAAATTATTCAAATGGAATAAATTATCATAAATAAAAATGGTTCATCTTTAAGGAATTAAATTAAATTAATCAAAACATTTAGAGTTAGAGTTAAAACACATTCAAATAACAATTAAAGAAGAAAATATCCAGGTCTAACAAAATGCCCAAAAAATGGACTATTGGCCCAAAATCCAGATGTTGTCTTCCTGGGCTGGGTTTGGACCCTCAGCTGCTTCCACACTTGTGCTTTGGCCCATGTATACCAGTGTATACAATCTGTTGTATACTTTCTGCATAGTCTGTATATCAGATGTATACAGCCCCTGCTTCTTATTATGAATCATTACGGAAATCAAGATAAGAAAGGTCATTAAATAGATACTTATAACCAGAATGAAACGTAGCTAATTAACTAGGAAAGGCAACTAGAAATGACTATACGGTAACACTCGGAAAATTTCTAACTTAAGACCTGAATTATTCTACAACACGTTGCAACTCTACCCTTAAAATCTGAATTGTTTGTCGTAAGTATATGAGCTTGAACCGGGTGATGTCCTACTTGCTCATGGCTCATGTGTTATAAAGTCCTTTACCAAGTGTATCAAGAGTATTGATCTAGGGTCATAAGGGACGTCAAACATCAAGCCAAGTTCAAAACATTTATATTGGCTAAGTTCTCACATGAGTTAATATAAATGTCAATTTCAAAAATTATATCAGCATATAAAGATTCATTAATCGATATTGCAAACAACAAATATTTTTCTTACATGAAAACCAAATACATTATCACATTAATTAATTAAAATACATTAATAGAATACATATCACATTAATTAATTAATATACATTAATAGAATATCTTTCACTTCTTTCCTAATTTGTTGATCGATGTGCGCTGCTTTGATAGATTATTTCCTTAACCCATCTGACACAAATTAAAAACAATAATTAGTGCAGAAAATACACATATTTTTGTTTTCGTTTGTTTTTCAAATAGACACATATTTTTGTTATAGAGTTTCTCCACAGAAAACAATTGCACAATTTTCATTCCAAAATTTCCAATGGAGGAATTTTCTTGTTTAATTTGGAATTGAGTTTTGACTCAACTAGTTATGATTATAAGATTCTTTAAGATTTCCTAGAATGAAAATAATTGCCGCAAATTAAGCATATTGTGAATGGCACGAAGATGATTATCAATTTTTCTTGAGAAATCACTTTTCACCAGGTACTTTATGGCCATCATTTTCATTTCGAGGAATCTGAATGATCCTATAGTCTTTTTTTGGGATCAATATCAACAATGAAGTTCATCCAACGATAAACTTAATCCGAATTATAGAGCTACGACACAATCAAACTCAAACTCACAAAATTTTGAATTGAATAGTACCCGTCTCTACTCATTTTTGTACTTGCTCTTTTATTTTACAATTATTTCTTCAATTAAGAAAACGAAAGAGAATAAATAAGATTCTCTATGCTCATCCGGAAGGATCTCATAATTTAATTATCCATAACTGTTTATGTCTCTAGCATGACCAGTACTTGATGAAATCTGGAGGGAAGTGAGGTAAATGGCCGATCACAATTTGAGTCAAATAAAGTAAGAAAATCAAGGCAAAACTCGTATATATTTTACTGCATCACTATCCACATTTAAAAGAATGTTGTTAATTACCTGTGACGGGGTTGTTATTTAGACGTCCTCAACTGAGAAATTGATGGATGAATTTATGGCCGGTGCCGGTACTGTGCCGTTGCCACTACGGCGGCGGCGCCACCACCAAATAGCCATGCTTAGGATAGTAAAGATCAACGAAATGTTGAGAACAAACTTAACAGTAATGTGCATGTTCATGTTCATGGTGATATATACCATATCTTTCTTAAAACTTATTCCTTATTTAGTAAGTATCAATCATGTAATTTTTACTGATATATATAGAAAGTGGCTAGTTAATCTTATGATGATATTTTTGGTATTATGTTATATTTGTATTTTATGACTCTTGTACTTAAGACTAGATATGGACCCCGTGCCAATACGGATCCAATATATGTTACTTTTTCAATTTTAATTTGTGTGACACAATTGAAATTTTAAGAATTCTTTGAAAAAATTATAATTTTTTAAAAATATTTTAAGTTGTTAATTATTGTAATTCATTGTAATTTTTAAAATAATATATATTACTAACCCTTCGGGGTGGCCCAGTGGTTTGGGCTTGGGACTTCCATGTTAGAGGTCTCAAGTTCGAAACCTCTTGCTAGCGAAAGCAAGGGATTTGCCTTCTGGATTGAGCTCGTCACACTGGATTTGCCTAGTGCGAATTACCTCTCTTACGTGATTTGCGAGCTATTGCATAGAAGCGGGATTTAGTTATTATTCTTTTATAGAATTTTTTAATGAATGACACACACTTTAATTTAAGGAAGGTGGAATTACTTCGAAAGTCCAAAGTGCTTTCACTTTCTCATCACAAGATCTTTCAGACACCAAATAGCAACATGTTAGACAAACACGTCAAAAGTGCTTAGGAAGTTACGAAAATGCCCTTGGCAGGGCTTCTAGACTCTTCTACTAAGTAATGAAGCGTATTTTAAGTTGTTAATTATTGTAATTTATAGTATTTTTTTTACGTAATTTTAAAATAATAATATATATTATTCTCTTTGTTTTAATTTATGTGGCATATATAGGATTTCAAAAATTAACTTTTTTTTTTGTCTTTTAAATATGTTAAATTATTAATTATTATAATTTATAATACCTTTTTAACGTAATTTTCAAATAATAGTATATATTATTTTTCATGTCCAAAGTTATGTGACATTGATAGATTTTTGGAGTCAAGTATTTTTTTTTATATGTATTTTAATGAAAAAATGAATAAAGAGCCGACATTGTGAAGTGAGCAAATGCCCTTGTTAAGTTCCTATTTGAAAATGAAAGGCCCCATTTAATTCAATTCACGAATTAGCCCACTATGAATCTACTACATTTTTTTTTCATAATATATATATAATTATCTGGAATATTGTTGACGAAGAAGATTTGCCTGCGTGTCTTCTACTAAGTATAAGTAATGAAGCGCTTTCCCACTACTTGCAGTAGACATCTCTAAGTAAAACTAGATAGATATTCCGTGCCAGCACGGGGCCCAATATATATTACTCTTTCTATTTTAATTTATATATGTGATATATGTAGAATTTGAAGTTAATCAATTTCTTAACATGTTTTTATATATTAGAGTCAACCAATTTTTATTATTATTATATATATATATATATATATATAAACTTGACCAAATATCTTATCTTTTTAAAATAAACATTTTTGACATATAAAAGTTTGACCAAACATGCTACAATACAGTTCAAACTTGTGGTCAAGTAATTTAACATCTATAACATATGCAAAAATGAATCTTAATTGATTGGTTTGTTTAACTTGAAGAGCTCATATGGGAGGCTTTATGGGTTTCGAATGACACTTTAAAATAAAGTTATATCTCTTGGCAAGTGATGGTGTTTACTTTAACAAAGCACTTAACCAACAAGCCAACAGCCGTCCAATAAAAAACTTTATCTTTTCATTTTCTCCTATTATTAAATAAATAAAGAGAGAAATTGATCTTACAAACTTAATTAGAACTAGGGATGTTCACGGGTCGGTTTGGATCGGTTATTGGTCAAAATCAAAACCAAAACCAAACTAACTTAATTGGTTTTAAAATTATCAAAATCAAACCAAACCAAATATAATACACATTTATCGGTTTTGTGGTTATTGGTTTCGATTTGGTTTGGTTTGGTTATTCGATTGTTAACCATACACAAAAATAAAAGAAACAATTCATTCAAAATGTGAAAAAAAGTGACAACAATCCATTCAAAACAAAAATAGTTAGAATGACTTAAATTACCAAACTTTCGATCACTAATTTACTATCAATAAAGCTTTAAAATCCACTATATTGGACTGGAAGAAAGAGACAATAACATTTTCATTCCCACAAATAATTGTCATAGACACTCATATACATGAAATCAATAAGATAAATGTTTTCACCTTGAGCATTCTTGCTTTCAATAAGTAAAGTCTAAAGAAATTTTAATGAAAACATATATAAGATCTTTAAAATTGTTTATAAAAACAATATATTAAGTATGTATATTATTAAAATATATGTATATAATTCATCGGTTCGATTATTTCTTCGATTTTTTCGAATAAAATCATAACCAAACCAAATACTACCGGTTTTTCAAAATCTAAAACCAAACCAAACGAAATCCAAATAAAATCGATTTTATTTTATCAATTTGGTTTGATTTTTCGGTTTGGATTGGTTTTTATCCAAACAATGAACTCCCCTAATTAGAACTTTAAACTTGTCATTTCCTAAATTAATTTCATTAATTTTCCTTTTTTAAACTAAGAAATATCTCCTTTTTCATTATATTTTACATTTTCATATATATTAAAAGTTTTTATCTTCATAAGTTATATTTCCATTATCTCTATTAACTCCTCATGATAACCCCCAAATTTAAATGTATAAACTTATGATAACTTTTTGTTTTTCTTAACCCTTTTCCCTATTTGACAACTAATTATGCAGTAAATTATTATGCTACCATGTTTCTATAAAAGCAACAGATCTCAATTTCAAATCCTGGGTCCCTGTTTGGATCTCCTGATCTATTTTTCAATAACAAGAAAAGCTAGCATTCCTCTTCTTTGAAAAAAGTTAAAGATAACATTATACCAAGGAAATTGAAATCATCATGCAAATCAACCAAAATTTCGATATCCAAACACCACAAGGGTTCGACAAAATAAGGTCGAAGGTGGAGATTGAAAAAGAAACACCATATCTAGAATGAACAAAACTTCAAATATTCGACAGGATAAGAAAATGGTGAAGGAACACAAAAGTTCTTCGAATTCCCGAGTATCTTCTAATCAATCTAGGGTGGAGGGGACACATTAACTCTTCCATCTTCAAAGGTCTTGAACGCTCAAACCTACATATCAAAATTTACTCGAAACAATGAGATTCATGATCATCGATAAGTAGCAACTATAGGACTATAAAACTAGTCAACTGGAACAGCATATAGCTAAAGTGAAAGCACCAAAAGATAAGTATACCTGGAGGAAGTGACTGCTTCAACTTGTCAGCCTTCTCAAAGTCTGACACACACAGTGTGTACAGGTACTTGGAGCAGCGAACCTTGAACTTAACCATATCCTTGTTCTTCTTGATCTTGACAGATCGTGCATCCTTCCTCCTTGCTGTTAGGAGAAAATCCTTGATCTCGTGGATTTGCTTCGGCTGAAACCAATAAAAAAAGGTTCAGTTAAGCAGTCATCTCTCCCACAAGGATAAAAATTTGCACTAAATAGTCCTAAGCAAGTTCCCATACATGAACCACAACAAATCAAATGGCAATGAACATTAAACATTTGTCTGCTTAGCAAGTAAGAACTAATGTATGTAGGATAAAGCGAGGAAAAAGAAAACAAGGAACATTCATCAAGATACAAGCTATAATCAAATTATCAAACTTCATTTCTTTTACCAATACAAGACCTACTAGCAACTAGAAGATAAGTAGATTCATCCACATTCCCCCAACTGCTCAACATATACCAAGATTATCTAACAAATGCACACATAAGCAGAGAAGTATGAGAGTCAAGACAAGAAAATAACCCCAAAGAAATCCAGTTTTTTATGAAGGATCTATTGCTGGCATCAAGTAGATGCATAATAGTTACAAAAGAGCTGACAAAATTCAGAAAGAAATCAGGGGAACTTAAGAGGGCATAATATCCAGTTGCTTCAGTAGCAACTAAAAGAGGGCTAAAATCTTGGATTAAACACTTCAAGTACCACCAAAAGAATCTAATAAATCCACATCATGTATTCAATACATCAAGACTTATTTTTTCACAACAGAAAATTCCTAGAGGTTCAGTAACTCAGTGGACAATCAGCCCGCTGTCATGCCTTTACCACTTAGATACCAAGTTTTGCCAGCAAAAGCAAACCTTTCCCATTTAGATACTATGCTTTTGCAAAACAAGAGCCTAACCAATCCATCAGCACCTAAGCTCTAACCACCAGGTCAGAGTCCAGAGGCTCGAGAATAGCTTTACTATTCACAAAAAAGTGCCAGAAATTAACACTACAAGCACCACCAAAAGAATCTAATATCTCCACACATCAGGACTGTTTTTTTCACAACAGAAAACTCCTAGAGGTTCAGTAGCTCACAGTTCAAAACTCAATGAATAACGAGCCCCCTCTCATCCCTCCACCACTTAGACACTACACTTTTGGCCACAAACCAGTATCAACCACTAAACTCACCCATCACCACCTAAGGTCTTACCACTTGGACACTATACTTCCAGCCACAAACCTGCATCAACCACTAAAACTCATCCATCACCACCTAAGCTCTTACCACTAAGCCAAACCCTTCAACACTCGAGCTCAGTTTTATTATTCACAAAAAATCTCCCAGAAAATTACTTATTTCAAAAGCACCTATACAAAATTAGGTTACATCTGAAAAACTAACACGTGAACAAACCCAAAAAACAGAGAAAAAACAAAACTTTAATCACATAAAAACCTAATAACTGACAAGTCCCATCCCAAAAGCCTCAAGATTTACCTCAAACAACACAAACTAGTTCCAAAAAAACAAACAACAAGACATTTAATCATCAAAAACTCAATTAAAAACTAAACTTCACAATAAAAACAGTAAGCATATCTTAAATTCAACAATGTAAACACAAAAAGAAGAAAAACCCACCATGATTAGGTCTTCAAATTAGAGTTTTGTTGCTGTTCCTGCTGCTGCTGCTGAAGGAGAAGACAAATGGAAAAACGAAGAGGCGGTAACTATATAAATGGGATAGCTAAGAAAACCCTAATTTTTTCACTTTACAATTTTACCCCTAACCCGGTACCGAAACCGGAACCGGAACCGAACCGGCCCAGCCCATTAAGATCCCGGCAGGCCCGGCACAATTATCCACCTCCTTACAGGCCTTAACTAGCCGTTGGGCAACGGCCCAATAACGGATATATTTTCTTACCATATAACTTTGTAAAACTACACTTTAGTCCCAAAATCCCAACTATAAATACTCAAAAAAAGTTCATTTTATTTCACTCACTTTCTCTCTCTCAAATCATCTCTCAAGTTGTTTGCTTTTCGACGACGGCTTTCTGGTTTTGACTTGATACGACAATTGTGGTAAACTCGTTCCATCTCTTAATTTACGTATTGAATTTGCTAGTTTTGTTGCGCATTATGTCTTCGAGTAAAGGTATGTTTAAGGGAGGGCATAAGAATAAAGGTAAGTCATCTATTTCTATTAATCAAAAACTTCCTCGTAAGTCTGAAGATGATTCTTTAGAGGATAGTGAAGATTGTATGCATGATAATAATAATAATAATAATCGCGAAAGTGTATCGAGTGAGGAGGAAGAGTCTAAGGAAGTTTCTAGTATGGAAAAAACTATTGACGATGATTTAAATAATAAAAAATTATTTGGTGATAGAAAGAAATATAAAAAAGAAATTATAAAATCAATAGCTAGTGAAAAACTTCTTGATTTTACTTCTCCTAAAGATTTTAATATATATATCAATAGATTATATTCTAATCGTTTGATTAATGGTATTCCTAGAATAACTTGTTTAAATAATATTATGAATTTTTATACACAATATCAACGATATTTACGCTATTATTTTTCGAAACTTGATTGTAGAGTTTCTCTTGCACTTGATATTTGTCGTGATGTTCGTAACTTAGATTATTTAATTGTTACATGTCATTGGATAAATTCCGATTGGATAATGGAAACTCGTATTATTGCTTGTCGTTTTATTGAAGATAAAAATAATAGTCCTTTTATTGTTGCATCTATTAGAGATATTTTGACTTTTTTTGGTCTTAATAATAAAATTATGTGTATTTCTTTTAATAATAATTTTAATGATATTTCATCTTTAGAAATTCAATCTGTACCACCTTTAAATGGAAATTTTCATGTTAAATATATATGTGGAATTTTTAATTTAATTGTACATGATATAATTGATCTTTTTAGTTCTTATATTACCAAAATTAGAGGAGCAATAACATTTATTTTTCAAAATAATTCAAAAACAAGAATTAAAGAATTTAGGAAAAATTGCAATGATTTTAACCTTAAACCAAAAAAAATATCAGTAGATATTTCTACAAATTGGAATTCTTTATACATTATGTTAAATGTTGCATATAAATATAGGGAGCCAATTTCTGTTACATATAATAATTATATTGAAAATTCTGCTAATTTTTTAATTGATTCAGATTGGGATATTATTAAAGTTATTGTCAAAATTTTATCAAAATTTCATGATGCTATTAAAGAATTTTTTAGTAATTGTGATCCTAATATTTGTAGTATTTTAAGTCATATTACTGTTTTTGCTTATGTACTTTCTAAATATAAGGATAATGAAATTTATAAAGACTTTATTATTCCGATAAAAGAAAAAATAAAAAAATATTTTATTCCTATGCCACCTATTTTTCAAATTTCTGCTGTATTAAATCCTAATTTAAAATTAATTTATGCAAAAGAATTTACAAGAGGATTATATGAATTATTAGGAATTGGTGAGGAAGAAAAACCAGATTTGGAAAATGCTAAATCTAGTTTATTTTCAAATACAGAAGCATTATTTAACTATTATCAGCAATTAATAATAGATAATGAAAAATTAAATATTTCTAAATCTAAAGAAATAGATTTTATAGATAATCTTGTGGAAAAATTACTAGGTAGAAATAAAATAAGTGAGCTTGATTCTTATGTGAGCCAACATGGTGAATCTACTGATATTAGTATTTTGCAAAGGTTGAAGGATAGATCAAAATTTTCACGTGTTATTGCGAAAATGGCTCGTGATGTGCTAAGTGTTCCAGTTGTTTCAAGTGTGGCGTCAGAATATGTATTTAATAAAGAAAAGATGCGGATTGGTGATAACAACCACTCATTGTCTAGGGAGACAATGGAAATGGTAGTTTGTGTTGAAGATTGGATTAAAACAGAGCGAAGAAAGCAACATGTAGAAAAAACAGAAGACGAAGAACTTGAAGATGTCATGATAATGTCGGATGATGATCAAAGTGATGAAAGTGATAATCAAGATTATCCAACTCCAATCAATCCTTCTTATATTGATATTAAGGAGATGATTGATATTTTTAGAAAAATTTGATCATAAATTCATCTATCATTGTATTTAGAAATTTCTATTATTTTTTGTTCATGAGAGTAGAACCTCTTGACTCTTGTTGAAATTTGCAAGTTTAAAAGTTCAAAAATGAAAGTTATAACTTTCAATTTTGTTATAATTTGAGTATATTTCAAATTTCAAAAGTTAGCCATTGAGTTTTTTAAGTTTTATGTTTGTCAAGTTCGAATAACAAAAATCGATTTCAAATTATACTGGCTTATGTTATTGTAGTCTATATGTTGAGCCACACATAACATGTTATCTTTCCCAAATGTTTGACAGGAAAAAAGAAAACATTTGACTAGATAGCAAATTCAGAATCCACTGAGTAAAATCCACAGGTTTCAATTATAAAGATTAAATCCGAGACCTTTGATTAAGGGTGCTCATTGATACCTACCACTCTCGTTTAAACTAAGAAAGAACTTGTTGTATTTAAAAGCATTTTCGATGAACAACAGAAGGTCCACTCTCGTCGTAATCAGCTTTGGTTATGTGCTGGTTTTGAGGGAAGACAACTTTGGCAAGTATAGCACCACCAATCCATGCTGAATATGAAGTCAAGTTCTCTGGCATATATTCTGGAGGCTGTAAAGAATATCACAAAATCAAAATTCTATAAGTAGGTTATGGCATCGTGATCAATTAGAGAAGTAACGAGGTAGTTCATGTTTCGGGAAGAGCATCCTAACACTACCTTCTCTCGTGTTAGGATGCTCTTCTTAGCACAGCCTCTCTATTGGTTGAGGGACTTGTATCATAGGTTACAAGTTCGAGCCTTGTGCTAAGCTAACTAAGTCTAGTATTTAAATGGAGAGGAGTGGTGGTTGGCTCCAGACAGATTTCTCGGTTATTAAAAACAAAATCAATCCATTTTCCTCTAAGTTGGGAGTTCTCACAAAGACTTGGGCTGACAATCCTAAGTCGCTTTTATGATGGAAAGATGAAAGCGGTAGGGTATTGTGACAAGGGGCACAAATATGGCAAAGAGGCAAAAAGAACCTAAGCTGTCATTTACAAGAAAGATACCTTTACTAGCGAAGGACGAACTGCTGATGAGCAAAGGGTTGCTTCTCTCTGAAACCGTTCCTCAAACCCTGCAACCACAAGCAACACAAAGTTTAATTTATATTCATCAGCACAAATGCTATGCTGGTAGCCAAATTTACAAAGATCCAAAGAGTTATCTATCCTGGTCTACTTACAAGGACTCTAACAACTGTAATATTGACTCTGTTTCAACTACAAAAAAGTTCTTTATACCACAAATTAAAAGACACGTAGCAATCTTCTGTAATGTGTTCGTCTTCAAAGCACCTAGCATTTCTCTCCAAACGCTCCACCATATACAAGTTTCATTCACATGTATGTTAGCCCGCAAGACCCAAGGAACACCAGAGTCTAGACTTTACAAATGGCCAGTGCAAACTTCAGAAGGAAGGAGGCAATTTGAGCATGACCAATCCATCCATGCCAACTGACTGATTGAGGGTCTCTCGATCCATTCCCCTCTTCACCTTACACTCATTTGTGATATATGTTAGCTTAATTAGTGATGGGGAGGAGGAACAAATTTTACTTCTCTTCAATGTGATGCTCCAAACTGATCTACCTCAAGTTACAATTATTGTTGTTGTGTTCTTGTTGTTATTGATAAAAGTATACTACACTGATATAGCTATGTTATTTATTATTTTATAAAACCAGCTCTTTCTAATTTGTTAATTAGACAACCTTGCACACTCCTTGACTGATACAATTAGCAGTCTTTCACAGACCAAAAACACAAGTGTCGATGCAAACCTATCCCACCAAGGATGAAGCATATAGGTTCTCACTTAGGGCTCGTTTGGTGTGAGGGATAAGAATAAATAGTCCTGGGTGGGATAAAATTTAGATGTCTTGTTTGGTTGACATGTTTGGAATAACTTATCCCACCATTTATAGCATAGTGATGGGATAAGTTATCCCATATACATGGTGGGATAAGTTATCCCAGGATAGTTAATCCTGGGATAACTAGTTCCCAACCAAACGACCCCTTAGTGTTGGAGTTGAGACTCCTGTGTCTCGACCTCTAAGCTATCCATTTTGGGACTTACCAATGCTAACTCATAAACAAGTCGATCAGCTCTTCCCGCTAGTCATTTGGGTCATTTTAATGTGCAAGCTATAAATCTAAACCAGTTTGGTAAGAGAAGATAGTAAGATCACAAGCAGATTTGTGTCCTGGACCTTGGAGAAAATATTACCAATCAAAGGGGAGAAATGGCCCCTCTGATCAACGGCACTCATTAGCATTTCAATATTTTGTTTTGTCATCACGATGTTGGCATTGATGAAGAATATTACAGGAATAGACAAAGTTCCTAGTTAGGAGAAGAGGAAGGGAGATATTGACACTTCCTTAATGTTTCACTCGGTGTTAGTCAAACAGTTGCTGTAGCCATCAAGCATTTAAAGCACAAGCCAATTCAGTGAAGGATTCTTGTTGATGTGTGTTACTTATGGTCCAACAGCTAAATATCGGCTCACCAGACCTCTTCTAGTCTCCCAAGGAATAGTGGAAATACATTCACATCCAATGGATTGGATTTGGGCCAG